ACTAAGCTCTGCTTTATATGGGAGACAATGCCATGGAGGGAACAGGGCTTTCAAAATCTGCGTCTCGGTTTGAGTCCCTGATTCCACTGGTGGTTTTCGAAATTTCTGAATGAACTCGCTCACTCGATTATTTCTGCTCGACTGACGACCCACCCTTTTGAACTGTTCCTGTAACTGTTCGCGCAGGGACTCGGGACAGTTATGCAGCTGGTTCTTCAGCTCAGCATGGCCCTCCTGGAGTCTCCGCAGGGCCTGACGCTCAGCCTCAACATTAGCCCTCTCCTAGAAAGACAGTGCACACACCCACACAGAGTATGGACGGTTGGAATTGGGGTTGGTGGCGGGATGGAGTGAGAGAAAGAAAGGGGAGAGAAAGCAAGAAAGAGACACACGCTGCTCAAATTTCATGCCATGCAAATAAAAAGCTCAACGTGTTAGCAGTAAACCAAGTGTTCTTGAGGAATGGTTTTCATCCTGAAAGTGAATTCTATGAATTAAAATTCTTGCCAAAGACGACTTGGACATTCAAAGTAAATAAGGAAACAGGAACTTGACAATAAAAATAGCATGGGTTTCCCAGGAATTTTTTAATCTCCCAACTGTTAAAAAGTGGCAATATGGGCAAAAGAAAATGCAGTTTTTCTGAAAGCTTCGAGAATACCCTCCTGAACCCCATTTGCAACGCAGGTGCGCAACAGAACAAAGGAGACACCGAAAGTGAGGCCTACAAGGTCTGTGTCATGCAAGTTTTCGAAACCAAAAAAAGAAACACGGATCAGACAAGCAGCAATAGAATTTGAAGAAGCAGGGTAATCAATTAGAGGGTGTTAACGGATGTTAATGAGGCAGCAGAGTTAAAATCTGAGAAATTGACAAGAGGGTTCAGGTCAATCAACCAAAATTTCACAATCCCTTAAATGCCTTCAAAATCTTACAGTTACAATGTCTCATACTGATACTTGCAACATCTTATACAATGACATCAGCAATGGTGAACCAACAGGAACTGTAGCTTTGCGATGGAAGAAAAGCAGAGGTAAAATGTGTGCATCTTTTTTCTTTGCCACAATCATAAAAATGAAATGACCTATACCTTGTCTTTCTCTCGCTGAATGGCAATTTCCAGCTCATCTAGCTTGCGCTGCAACTGACTGATGATGTCCGTCTCTGCCTCGATCTGGTCGAGTTCTGCCTGCCTCTCTCCCTGCAGCAAGGCACGCTCCATTTCCGCCTAGAGGAGTGGAAAAACTATTATTATTGTTTTTATGTTTTTTTTTTACTCCGACCACAGTGCAAATGATATACTGTACATTAGGGTGGTCCACATTTTCATGGCA